ACCGGTACTTAATTTTAACTAAAAAATTGACGGAAAAATTTCACAAAACGGAAATGAAAAATGGCAGCAAATTAAAACTATTGAAATATCATAGTAACATAAAACAGTTGTGATAGTGGAAACATAAGGGTTAATTTCACTCATGGCCATCTAACTTTATTTTGATTTATCATGGACACCAAACTTTAATGATAGTGGTGGATGGTGGCAACAGCATGTTTGGCACATGAAGGTAGGTGGATTTTGTTTGGGAAAAGAGAGGAAGGGGTAGGCTTAGGCAAAAAAAAGCCAAAAAATTGATCAAACTAATCAAATCGAACCGACTTGGACCGATTCTGGTCGGCTCGATATGAGTAATTGGTTTGGTTTGATTTTCCTTTAACAAAATTATAGTAGGTTGGTTCAATCATGGTTTGAAGCCCTAACCACCGATTAACTGAGCCAACCTAACCCATTTGCATGTTAAAAATAAAAAGATAAGTAATAATTTCATAATTATATCTCGATCCCCTCCAATTTGTGATGTTGTCGGTAAGTAATATCACGAAAATTTCCCTTCACAAGCTCATTATATTATATTTAGCATTTTTTTTCTACTCAAACAGTCAGACTAAATAATGCATAAAAAAATTATTAATTTTTTTGTTGATCCGTCTCTATTAACTTGATTTTATTTGTTAGTCAATAATTCTTGTAATATACATTTTTTTATTTATTTTAATTCTTATAATTTAAGTGGGTCCAAAACTCGAACATTGTTTTACGAGCTGGAGTAGGTTACTCAAACCAATTAATTCGATTTTGGTTTCAAATTGGAGTCGAAATCAACTCAAACCAAACCGCGCTTAAGCCTAGAAAGGGGCGTGGATTTGCTTCATTTTCTTTTTGTTTTACATTTTTTTACTCTTATTCTTTTGTTTTAATTCAAATTATTTTTCTCATTTTTGTTCTGAATCAAAGGTACAATGATCATTTTATTCAAAATTTAACATTTTAAAGATTAAATTAACATCTTCGATTACAAAAGGATCTCAAACATAGATATTTGAAAGTTTTGAGACTTTGAATGCTAGGAATCAAAAGTTCCATTACCCATTGTCAAAAGATTCAAATTGTTACGCCCCTAACCGAACCACTCCGAAACATCAGGCACACCACTCCCCAAAGTGTCACATGTCCATCCGAAGTGGTTTCGAAGGTACGCCAACTTCTGACGACCTCCAACTTGGTGCTCTGCAAGGCGCAGAGTAGATCCACTAAGATAATCGAATTGTCCCTGACACCGAAGCGTTAGGCGCTCTGAGATACTTCCTTAACAGATCCCTTCGTCGCCACTTTCAAAAAGATCTGCGTCAAGATCCTCTCTGCCTCCAAGGATTAATTGATGTGACGTCTCCATAAGTCTAGTTAATAGGACGTATCAACTTTGTGTCAACTCAACTCAGAAGAATTAATTGCCCACCCACTCTAGACGCGACTGATTGATGCCTATGAGCGGACGTCCCAGACCGTTAGATGCATACATGTGTTCCACATCCAACGGTGCTTCACGTCTATAATACCTAAGGTTTGACAAGAGAAAAAGGTAATGAAACTCTCACAACTTAGCTATTCATACTAAGAAAAATATATTGTCCTCCCCCACTCTCTTGTATAATTTGAGCACTATTCTGATCACCAAAAACTGACTTGATCGTCGGAGTGTATGCGACTGTCACCACTCCCGCTGCTTCTGACCGTGTATTGTTGTGTGTAGGGAGGATTATGTAAAGTGGCTATCGGTTGGCCACGTGGAGGGTCCAATTCGCGAAGTCAACAGATTGGCGCCATCTGTAGGAAACTTCCCATCCAAAAGGTTCCATATTTTCTGCCTAAAAAGCCACTGGAAAACCATCGACTTACCCTGAAAATGGCACATTCTTGAAAAAGAACAAAGTCAATCTACAATCTAAATTCTTAACACCCTTGAAAAATGAGTGGACAAGATGAATTCTAGTAACGAGGATGCAAATCCTTAGTTTAGAGACGCCTTTAAAGAAGAGGTGCTCCAAAACAATGTCACTTACCAAAGACCCCATCACCGGCATCGTCGAAGTGAAAGAACAGCCATGCTCACTGAAGGAATGACTCAAATAACTGCTGGAATGAGAGATATTGCAGCTCAGAATGTGGCGATGCGTGAATTCTTCATGCAAGCCCGAGGTCATCAGGGCTTCCAGATGCCCTAAGGATCTTACCCAACTCAAGAAATTCTTGCATCTCATGATTGAGGCCATTCGAACCAGCGCAGGGAACGTCTCCTCGAAAGAGAAGTGGGTGTAGATGTCACATTCCATGCATAGGGAGCCAACCAGTAGAACCACAACTAGGAGAGAACTTCCTACCAGAATATGAACCACAAAGGCTTGTCAATGTCTTAGACCGAATAGGGCAGAACCCTAGCAATAAGGTTTGCTCTGTGCAAGAATCAGTTCGACAAGAGCAAGAACTTGAACAAGCACCTTCTCCGCCTAGAAATAGGTAGGAGAAAAGGAACTTAGTCGATTGGGGTAGTCGAGGAGGAGCATTTCCACCTCCACCTCCACCTCCCTAGAACGTGCAAGATGATGAAGGCTCCGACGGGCCATGTCGATCTTATGAAATTGACGATAATGATGACAACCTCTCTTTCTCAAGGGAGATCCACAGCTTCCCAATGCCTAAGAATTTCGTGTCTCCTAAAGTCCCTAAGTATAAGGGAAAGGGGGACTCGAAAAAGTACCTCACCAAGTACATGACACAGATGAACTTCAGAGGAGCCTCACCCGCATTGAAATGCAGGGCCTTCCATCTAACCCTTGCTGGAGCTGCCAAAGTGTGGTACAGCAGACTGTCTCCACTGAGCATTAGGAGTTGGCCAGATTTGAAGAAGGTATTTTTGAAACAGTACCTCTCACAAAGAGAATGAGAGGCTCTAGTGCAATGCCTGCAAGATATGAGGTAGGTCCTTGGAAAGACACTAAAGAGCTACCTTGCCAGGTTTACTAACGAAATCACATACTGCGAGCAAGTCACTGACAGAGAAGCCCTTTCAGCCTTGAAAGGTAGCCTCAACATGAACACTTTGTTCTGGAGGGATGTACGTAGTAAGAATCCCATCACCTATGACGAACTGGTAGAAATGATGAGAGTGGAGATCATCAGTGAAGAGATGATTGACGACCGAAATCGTGCAGCAAAGGGACTCCCTCCACCTTAGAGGCACGTAGGTCAAGGACCAGCAGCGTACCTCATAACCTAGCAGTGGACCTAAGCATGACACACAATAGCTCCCACATCCGGACAAGCGTTGGCTTTTGCCACGCTAAATGCAGTGTCGGTATTGGCATACGAGAATGCTCCTACTGAGGCGGGACCATCTGAAGGCACAAACAGCAATAGAAAGAAGAAGAAGAAGATGAAGTGATCAAACAGACCCCTAGAAGGGGCAAGGTTCTGCACCTATCACTAACTTTACAGACACAATACCAACAAATGTAGGGATGCTCCTTGTTCCTCGAACCGAAGTAATTCATGCTCCTTAAGGAGGAACGAATATCCTCGCAAATCCACCTCCCCGAATTGAGGAGAAAGGAGATATAGAGACTAGTCACCCCGGAGGAGAGAATCAAGGGACAAAGGAGAATCTAGGCATAGAGATCAGGCCCCATCTAGGGACCAAATCATCAGGAAAATTGATATAATCATTGGAGGACCTCATATCGGGGCTAACACTAGGAACGCCCAGAGGAACTACACAAGGGAAGCAAATGATCCACCAATGATTACTTACATTGTCAATCAGTCTCAAGAGGCCAACATGATGACCCCAATCACTTACTCTCAAGAAGATGCACAAGGAGTTCATCAACCCTAGTACGATACATTAGTAGTAAGAGTCGCAGTGGCTCGAAACGGACTCAAGCGCATGCTTGTTGACAATGACAACTCGGTGAATATACTGTTCGGATCCATCTTTGACAATACAGATTGAACATGGGTTGATCCCCATGATCGACCCGCTATTTAGATTCACCGGTGACAGCATCGTCCCACGAGGGCGAATTACTCTACCTGTCGAGATGGGGTCAAGCCCCCTAGTGGCCCACCATTTCATGAAATTCCTGGTGGTAGACCACAGATCAACTTACCACGGAGTATTGGGCCGACCTACATTGAAAGATCTTTGGGCAATCACCTCCATCCATTACTTGTGTATGATGTTCCTAACTAAGCACAGGATTGCTACAGTTCGAGGCGACCAGATGGGCTCAAGAGCATGTTACCTCAACTCTTTTCGAAAATTCAAGCCCCGCACTGTTAATGCCATTATAACAGAGGTTGCCAACGAAGTCGACATGGACGTAGAAATGCTTGACGCTCCTAAACAAGGGTATACCTCCAAACAAGAGGAAAACGTCAACATGGTAGAGGCCCCTGAAGAAGGGCATCCTCTTGATGAGTTGGATTCTCAAATTATCGAGTTTGAACAAAATACGACCCCAATGGAATAACTGAAAACCTTCTCCACCAACCCTAAAGACCCCACTCAGGTTTTGCGAATTGAAAAAGCTCTATCCCCGAAGTGAAAGAAGAAATGATGAACTTCCTGAAAAAGAACTTCGATGTCTACGCTTGGAAGCACGAACACATGATGGGAATAGATCCAAGGATCAGTTGTCACCATCTTAACATCAACTCCTTCTGTACCCCCACATTGACAGAAAAGACGAGCCCTCAACTCAAAGCAATATGAGGCGCTCAAAAAAGAAGTCAACAAATTCAACCGCAAAGGCTTCATCAGAGAAGTCATCTATCCGAAGTGGATATCTAACCCGGTCCTCATGAAGAAACCTAGCGGGAAATGAAGGGTGTGCGTAGACTTTACAAATTTAAACAAGGCATGCCCTAAGGATAGCTTCCCTCTCCCAAGGATAGACCAACTTGTGGACTCCACTACTGGACATGAACTCTTGAGTTTCATGGACCTATACTCTGGGTACAACCAGATACCCATGTTCCGACCTGATGAGGAATCCACATCATTCATTACAGACAGAGGATTGTATTGCTATAACGTGATGCCCTTTGAATTGAAAAATGCCATAGCTACATATCAGAGGCTAGTCAACATGATATTTGCCGAACTCATTGACAAAACCATGGAAGTCTACGTGAACGACATGTTAGTTAAAAGCCTCCAGGCGAAAGCACACGTAAGTCACTTCGACCAAACCTTTCAGATTCTTAGAAAGTATAAAATGAAATTGAACCCTCTCAAGTGCACCTTCGGGGTAGCTTCAGGTCAATATCTGGGATTTATTGTGAACCGAAGAAGGATTGAGGCGAATCTGGAAAAGATAAGGGCCTTAATGGAAATGAGGTCACCTCAGAAGCCAAAGGAGGTCCAAAGCCTCAATGGTCGAATAGTCGCACTTAGTCGCTTCATCTCAAGAGCACTGACAAGAGCCTACCATTCTTCAAAATTTCGAAGCAAAGAAAGAAGTTCCAATAGACATATGAGTGCGAGGAAGCCTTCCAAGTGTTGAAGAAGCACTTAGGAGAGGTAACCCTACTATCCAAACCTGAACCAAGAGAACCACTATTGCTATACATAGCAGTCTCAGACAAGGCTGTCAGCGCAGTCTTTGTCAAAGAGGAAAACACGCATCAATTGTCGGTGTACTATATTAGCAAAGCACTACTCCTAGCAGAGAAACACTACCTAGATATGGAGAAACTTGCACTCTCTCTTGTCACAGCGTCGAGGAAACTGAGGCCGTACTTTTTGGTCGATTCAATTGAAGTTCTCACCAACTTCCCATTAAGACAAGTGTTAAAGAAAATAGACGCTTCGGGCCTTTTGCTAAAATGGGCAATCAAGCTCAGGGAGCTCTACCTACTGTTCCGGCCCCAAAATACCATCAAGGGCCAGGCCTTCGTAGATTTCATGGTTGAGTTTGCCAAAGTCCTAGAAATTGAGGTGACAATGGAACCAGCTGAGCCCCCAACATGGAACCTATTTGCGGATGGATTGTCAAGGAAGACTGGCTCCGAAGCAGGAGTCGTTTTGGAAAGTCCAGAGGACCATAAGCCAAACTGCACAGTCAGATTCGACTTCAAAGCCTCAAACAATGCTGCGGAATATGAGACCATCCTAGCAGGCCTTAGACTAGGAAAAGAAATGTGCGTCAAAAGGCTCCTATCAAATAGCGACTCACAATTTGTGGTAAGTTAGGTTAATGGAAAATTTGCAGCCAAAGACAGTGGCATGGCTGCGTATCTGAAATTTGTTCTGAACGTAGTCCCTCACTTCAAGAGATTCGAACTGATTCAAGTCCCACACCTCGAAAATACACACGCATATGTCTTATCCAAGTTGGCCAACAGCAGGGATTCAGAGCTGCTTAAAATTGTCCCAATTGAGCTCCTACCGAAGCCCTCTATCTCTGGAGGTGAAGAGATACTAAGGATTGAAGGCAACCCACTTTGGATGCAACCCATCGTAGCCTATCTCAAAGGTCAATCACTGCCAACCTCGAAAAGTGAGGCGAAAAAATTGAGAAGGAGGACTGCTCACTTCGTTGACGTCCTCTACAAAAGAGGCTTCGCCTCGCCACTTCTCCGATGCGTGGGAAGGGAAGAAGCCATGTATATACTTAGGAAAATTCATGAGAGAGTCTGTGATAACCACTTCAGAAGAATGGCTTTGGCACACAAAGTACTTCGACAAGGCTACCTCTGGCCGACCCTGAAAAGGGGCTTTTGCCAATTTGTTAAAAAATGTGACAAGTGCCAGCACTTCTCAAACATTTAAAGATAGCATTCTCAAAGCCTCTCCGTGGTAACCAGCTTGTGGCCATTCACATCGACTTCGTTGGCCCACTCCCAAAAGGAAGAGAAAGCGCAACTTTTGTCATTGTTGCCATTGATTACTTTACCAAGTGGGTTGAGGCTGAACGTTTGGCCAGGATCACCGAGGCGAATACTATAAAATTCGTCTGGAAAAACATCATTTGCAAATTCGACATTCTCCATTCTTTAGTGTCTAATAATGGAAGACAGTTCGACAACCAGAAAATGCGAGACTTGTGTGACGAGTTGGGGATAAGGAAAGATTTCTCAACACCTCATCACCCCCAAGTAAATTAGCAAGTTAAGGCAGTGAACAAAACTATCAAGCATACCCTGAAAAGGAAACTTGACGTCTCGAAAAGGGCGTGGGTTGATGAGCTTCTCCATGTCCTCTAGGCCATTCAAACAACTAACCAAACCACAACAGGAGAAACACCAATCTCCATGACCTACGGAGCCGAAACCATGAGTCCGGTCGAGGTGGGAGTCCCCTCTCATCGTCGGATACATTTCAATAAGATCGACAATGATGAAACTCGAGTGTACGAACTCCATCTCCTTGAAGAAAGGAGGAATTTCTCCCAAATAAAATTGGCTAAGTATCAAAGAAAGATAACCCACTATTACAACTCCAAGGTCAGAAACCAAACTCTTCACCTGGGGGACCTCGTCCTCAGAAGAGTTTTCCAATCATCGAAGCCAATTGGGTCCAGAGTGTTTGGACCGAACTGGGAAGGTCCTTATCGCATTCGCAAGGTGTCCCAACCCAGTACTTATGAAATCGAAGACATGGCAGGAAAAGTGTTGCCTCATCAGTGAAACATTGAACACTTAAGAAAGTACTATCAGTGATAAGTATATGTTTTAATCCGATCTCCATGTTGTCCACAGTCCATTGTAACATTCCTATCTTACTGAGTGCTGAAATTGCCTTAATTAAAGATAGCGCCATAAGTTCTAAGTTATGATACCTCAATTCACCATTATGTTCTATGGGTTAACCAATTGGTGCCTCAGTATTTTATATGGGTCAATTCTTCTGTCATCGACCAGTTATTGTTGGTGAGTGATGCTTAATATTTACCTAAGTGTTCGTTACTCATCAAAATACAAACAATTCAACATAAAAGTAAAGGGAAGAAGCAACAACACCTGGAAAAATTTTAATTTCATTAACATCAAAATAAATTACAAGAGGTGGACCGAAACCATTACAAAGTATTCTTATTGTACTGGAGGGGCATCTTCAGCTCCAGCCTCCAGTCCGACCTCTTGGGGGCTTCAGTAGCTTCCTAAGCGGCCCTGTTAGGTCGACCTCCGGTAGGCCCACCGAACTCCACTTCCAGGGAAGTTAGATCTAGAGTAGGGTGGACCTCCCTTAGGCGATCCAACATTGCCAGGGCATTCCACGAGGCCCAAAAGTTGGCGAAGTCGTCATACAATGGGTGTTATTCAAAGCGATCGATAAAGTTCAGCATTGTTGACTCCCCCGTCGCCTTCACCTCAACATTCAGAGATTCTATCTCCTCAGCTTGGGCCTCTGCCCGTTGCCTCAGCTTGGCCTTCTTTTTGTTGGAGGCCTCCAGAGCCTCAGTGGCGAGCCGATGTTGCTCATTGGCATGATCGACTCTCCTTGTCATAGCAGCCACCTGGCACTCTACTTTATAGAGCTCCTTCTTCAGCCTCTCTATCTCTCCATTGGCTCTGACCAGCCGACCCTCAGCTTCTTGCCTCGCCTTCTCCGCCTCCGAGGCCTTTGCTTTGCTTGGGCTGCCCATACAACATCCCTGTAGTGTAGCGCCTTCTTCAGGCGCTTGGCCACGTCTTCCCTCTTGGCATTAAGGTCCTTCACCAAATCCTCGAGCTGGACACTTGTGCTAAGAACCTAGGCAATGCATGCATTGTTAGACGCAACAAGGTCATCTACAGTGCAAGATGCGGTGTGGTCCCTCCACTCTTCGATCCAGTTACTGGATTGATGACATGGATGGAAAGACACAACCCCGTCCATGGAACATTGAGCACCTCCGAATCTATTATCAATGAATGTACTACATCGCTGGATGATCTTTCTTAACTTATGTAACATTTCCATGATTCAATAAAATTATCCATGATTGAATTCATGTGTCGCATTACGTCATCACCTCAAAGGAGAGACCAGCGTCCCATGTCTGGGCCACCTCGTTTGAACTCCGAGGCGCGTGCACTTGCCTCCCTTTAGTGAGGCTGAACGCCACTGGGAGATGCCTCAGCATTGCTGAACCATCCACCATGTTGGGAAGCGTCATCACCTCGAAGGAGAGGCCAGCGTCCCATCTCTAGGCCACCTCATTTGAACTCTGAGGCGCATGCACTTGCCTCCCTTTAGTGAGGTTGAACGCTACTGGGAGAAGCCTCAGCATGGCTGAACCATCCACCATGTTGGAAAGCATCGTCACCTCGGAGGAGAGGCCAGCGTCCCATCTCTGGGCCACCTTATTTGAACTCCGAGGCGCATGCACTTTCCTCCCTTTGACGAGGCTGAACGCCACTGGGAGAAGCATCATCATGGCTGAACCATCCACCATGTTGGGAAGCGTCGTCACCTCGGAGGAGCCATTGGGAGAAGTCTCAGCATGGCTGAACCATCCACCATGTTGGGAAGCGTCGTCACCTCAGAGGAGAGGCCAGCATCCCATCTCTAGGCCACATCGTTTGAACTCCGAGGCGCATGCACTTGCCTCCTTTTAGTGAGACTGAACGCCACTGGGAGATGCCTCAGCATGGCTGAACCATCCACCATGTTGGGAAGTGTCATCATCTCGAAGGAGAGGCCAACGTCCCATCTCTGGGCCACCTCGTTTGAACTCCGAGGCGCATGCACTTACCTCCCTTTGTCGAGGCTGAATGCCATTGGGAGAAGCCTCAGCATGGTTGAACCATTCACCATGTTGGGAAGCATCATCATCTTGGAGGAGAGGCTAGCGTTCCATCTTTAGGCAACCTCATTTGAACTCCGAGACTCTGGGAGGCCTCAACAAAACAATCTTTTATACCCATTGATTCACAAGGCTCAACCACTACTAGCTTCAAGCAACTACCTTTCGAATCGGACAGCAATATTCCCAGTTTGGCTGAATCACAGTCCAGTCAGGATCTATTCAGGTTACGGTTATTAAGCTTAAGTACAATTCATTTGCTTAAGTCCAATATTGGTCATGGCTCGTAAGGCTTGCGTACAATTTACTTGCCCAAGTGATTGGAGTTAGGCTACCAAATTAAAGTTATTTAGTTCTTCAATTAACATTAAGTTCAATTGCTTGGCGAGGCCAATGCACTTAGGAGAAAAACAACATTGAATGAAAGAAGATATTATATTGATTTTCAATCAAGATTACAAAAGGAGGGCCTGAGGACAGTACATCAGAAATAACTTAAAAGAAAACTATCCTAAGCCTGGGACATGATGGAGGTGCCTTAGCAGCCGAGGCCTCCGCAGCCTGAGCAACAGAACTTCCTTCTTCTGCCTCTGCTACTTCATCTCCAACCGCTTCATCGACTGGGGTTTGAGGCACTTCATCGACAAACTTCAACCTCAGCTGTAACATGTCTTAATTTGGGTGGAGTTCCTCAGCCCTCTCCATCATCTCTGCATAAGCATAATTTCTCCAGTAGGTGCTGAAGCCCTTGTACTCCTTGGTATTGTGGAAGTTGGCAATGTAGTCTTTCACCACCTCCTCCCTCGCCACATTGGCCTCCTCCTTTGCCTTGGTTGCTTCATCAACATACCACTTTATCTGGCCCTCCAAGAACTTGTACGCATCTTGGGCCCCAGCTAGCTCCAAGTTTGCCTTCTCCAAGGCTTCGGTAGTTACCTTCTGGTGGTCATTGGAAACCTCCACTTTGTTAATCAAGGAGGCCACCTCACACTGGGACTCATACACCTCCTTCTTCAACGCCTCGATCTGAGCCAAGGCAGATTCTAGCTTGGCCGCATCTTCAAATTTTTGGGCCCTTGCTTCCTCTGCCTCGGCTCTAGCTCCCTTCAGCTCCTCTACAAGGGAGGCCATCTTCTTCTCCGAGGATTGGGTCCTCATTTGAAAGTTAGTAAGGGCCTCCTTGCACTCCAGTGCGAGGCCAAAGGTCCTCACATTTTGGCTCATGAGGGCCCTTGTCAAGTCCGTGGCATCACATGAGGAGGCATGCAACTACCACCGATCCATCTAGAATTTGTAGAAGCTTTCTGTAGCACTTTGGATCTCAGGTGGCAGAGCCTCCCCAAAGCTGGAGCCAGAACCTCCTCCCTTCTGGCAAGGAAGCTCAGAGACTTCCCTTGCACCCTCGTAGGCCTCTGCTTGGTGGCCTCGTCCTCTGCCGCCTCAACTGCCCTCCTCACAGCCTTTTCATTAGCCTCCTCAGCCTCGGCTCGTCAAACAATTTCAATCTTAGCGCTTTCGAGGTGACTTCAAGGAGCTTTGGCTAAGTGACTTTTTTGCCTTCATGGGACACAGAGGTCCCGAACTTTCTCGACGAGCTGGTGATGTGCACCAGCTTCCTCTTCTTCTGCTCCTCGGGGACCTTCTCCTTCCCCCGAGGCTCTTTGGCCTTCTCTAGCCTCTGAGGTGTCCCCTCTTCGGGAGCCCTTGAACTGCTATCCTTACAGAGGCACTCGACCTTGCCCTGAACCTCTTTGGCACTAGTTGACCCCGGCTTCAGGGGCCTCGCCTTCACAGTGGATGTGGCCCTAAGTATAGAGGCCATGTCAAGGGTATTCCCTCCTCTTGAACTTGTCTGTAGAACATGTCAATGCATCAGCATCAAAACAAAAGTAAGAAATACACAAGTATAGGACCTTCTTACCCTTGGAGGCCATCAGTTCAAATCAAGGAAGCAGGGACTTCGGTTGATGAGGTGGTCAAGGTGGCGAAGCTTCAGAGGTCTCTTGTAAATGTCCTCTATCACTTTAAACTCCTCCTTGCTCAACTCGAACCTCGTACTGCTATCTGCAAAGGAAGCCTCAACAGTTAGAAAAAGAAATTTGAATACAGAATGCAAACTACTTAGGTTGGGAGACTCACGAGCTTCGTAGTACTGGGTCGGTACTGTGCAAGCCAGGGGTGTGTCCCCTTCCACCGCCTGCCACATGCCCCTCACCCAGAACCATGACTCCTTCCACCCCTTAATGGAAGAAGGCAGCCCCCACCACAAATGGTGCATGAGCCCCCCAAGGAGTTAAGTAATACCACCTCGTTGACTCCTTACCTATTACCCTAGGCTGGAATAGGGTCATGAAGACGTGGAGAGGCATGTCCTCCCCAAGTAACACTTCCTTCTAGAGAAAGTACGAGCCAACCAACTGGCTCCACCCATTTGGCGAAATCTGGGTCGACAACGACATAAAGTTCCTCAGCACCGTCCTGAAGAAGGGGTGCAGAAGAAGACGCATACCTACCTTAAACAGGTACTCGCTCACCGCCATGCATCTAGGCCTCGGATAGCAGGCTCACTCATGGGCCTCGGGTACTTACATCTCTACATAATGAGGTACACAGTACCTCTCCCTAATCTCTCCCAGCCTCTTCCATGTCATATTCGAAGGGACTCTAGACACCCCCCACTCTTCACTATAGTCTACTGCCTCTTCAGCCATAGCATACTGCTCAACCTCGAAGTCTCCCCTGTAACTAGCCCCCTGACCGAATGACGCGACAGTGACCAACTCCCTACACGAGGTGGACTCCATTTCAGAAAAGGACTAAGAACGCAATACAAGGGATTTTCTATGAAAATATCTACGGGAATAACTACGCCAACGGAATGGTGCCGAAAAACCAAGGAACAAACAGCTTCAACGCCGAAAAACTTAAGCTTTGGAAGAAAAATCAGATTGCAAAGGTAGAAAATCCAGAAAAATGGACGTCTCTTGCCTTTTATAAAGGGCCAGGACGAACCCCAACCGTCTGATTAAAGCCCATCCAATCTGGACCCTTCATTCTAAATCAAATCTGAGGCGTAGAATTCAAACAATTTTTCAAACCTACGCCCCAGATTTAAGCGTGTCTCCCACGCACCTCTCCCAACGCGTCTGCTTCTAAAAGCTCTAGCTGTCCTCATGATTACAACTTTAATTTGACGGCAGCAGGTACCTTGGAAGTTGTAACGGTTCAGCCACCTTTCCTCGAAAAAATGCGCAAAACATCAAATCATTGGCACAACTGTCGAGGAACAATTATTGTCAATGTGCCTCAGATTTCAGCCATCAAGCCCCGCAGGTTCGATTTCCCAACCACCTCGGCTCCCTCTTCATCATTTAGCCATCAAGCCTCGTAGGTTCGGTTTCCCAATCACCTCGGCTTCCTCTTCATCATTCAGA